TAACATAAAAATTATAGTGACAAAAATTTAAATAATAAAAACAAGAATGTGATAATAATCTTAGAACACAATTAATTTAATAAACAATGACAACTAATTAAAAAACTAAATTGATACAGTAATAAACAATGGTCCAAACTTGATTTATACAGTATCTAAAAATAATCTAAAAAACAGTAATAAGAAAAGGAATAAACTATGGTCCAAAAAACAGTAATACAGTAATAAACAAGGGTCCAAACTAGATTAATAAAATAATATAAAAAAAGAAAGGAGAATTAAAGTTCTACTACTTTGGTATCTGCTCAGATCCGTCAAAAAAGAGCATCAAAGTGGTGCTCTACTGCTCTGGTCTCTCTGGTTCCCTAAAACAAGGGAAATTAAAGTTCGTTAGAAAAGAAAAGGAATTAACTTACCTTGTCGCCGGAAAAAGAAAAGGAATTAACCGGAATTAAAGCTCTGGATCCCTCCCCCCGTCGGCGGTAGATGCAATCGGCAGTAGAAGTCTCTGCTCTTGGAAGAAGCGGCGGATCCAGGTCTCTCAATCATTTAGGCTTAATTAAATTACTTTCCAAACCTAATCCTAATTGGTCAAATATTTTTTAAAAAATTACCAATTTCGGATTCGTACCCAATTCCTACCCGATTCGTCCGGATTCGTACCCAATTCCTACCCGACGAATCCAAACCTGTAGATCCGTTTTGGGTACGCCAACTGCCGTCCCCGCCGGCGAATCCGCGTCGGAGACGATTCCGGTGCGCGAGGCGGCAGTGAAGAGCCGAATCCGTGCAACCTAGCCCACACCTAATGTTGCCAATTCAAACTATAGGAAACTCATATCAGATCACTATGTGATCAAACTATGAATGGACAAATTAAATACTGCTCCATAGAAGTTTCTTCCTTAAGCCCATTTTGGATGGGTAAAGAAAAACAAAAAAATATAATGGAGCTTAAGCTAATGAACATACCTCTAGGAAGTCGGCGGTGTTTTTTCCGGTCAGCATCTGCCCGGGATCATCTCGAGGCAAGAGCATCTGGGTTCACCTTCTTAGACTCCAACAGAGTAAGGATGTCGCCGTCTCGGACAGGTCCCTTCACGTTCCTCATGATAAACCTATTGGAGTCATCATTAAACTTGACTCTCACCTAGGTCACTTGACCCCGGGATCCTGTGCGACCCATCACCTTCACCACAGCAGCATACTTGATTTGGTTATCCATTTGTGAACAACACCAAGAAAGAACAAATATGTTTTAGTTGGAGCCCAACAAATGTGATCATCTTGATTTTTTTTGGCAGTAACAAAAAAAATCTTGTTTTTCTCTGTTTGTAATATAGTCATTCACCTACACATTTATACTTATACAGTGCTGATGAAGAATATGAAGTGATACTAAATGCTGGTTTCCGTTATGCTCAAGCAAACATTTTTGCCTTTATGTTGAAAAATGTAGAGTGTGCAAGTGCTTTGGAATCTTTTAATCAGCTAGGTGGCCTGCACATACTTTACTTTTTAGAGCAGGTAAAAGCTAATTAAGGTCACTTTCTATTGCTTTCAATTTACTATGAACTTAGACAGAACATGAAAAACAACACTTAGTGTACTGTACACAATAAAGATATATGCCCCGTTTGGCATCAGCGTTAGAGATTAGCATTAGCGTTTTGAAAAAGCTATCCGACGGTAGCCTTTACCGTTAGCGTTTTCAGAATTAATCTGCACCATCAAAATTTTATCCAAAACGCTAACGCTAATCGAAAACGTTGTTACCAAACAAAGCCATAATGTTTTTAAGGTTTGTATTCAATCAAATTGGTATCTTTAACAATACTAAATGGCCTAATAAAACATGGATAATTCAAAATTTCTTTGTTGATGTTCTCTTAATTCAATGCGTAGTTTTCTTTCATTTTTCTTTGATGTTTTGTTCCATTTGTAGGATTTTAAGATTTTTGTGTGATTTTGCATTACAAAGGTTAGTAAAGTGCATTTGGCTAATGTAAGTAAACACTCTTCCCGGTTGTAACATTCATATTGGAGAAAATATGTGGAAAATGCTAGGGTGCCTCCACATGGATGCTACCATGGGTGCACCCATGCTTCGCACAGACAAACACAGACGATAATTGTCTGTGCGACACAGACAATTATCGTCTGTGTTTG